TAACTAACAGAAGTTGAGGAAAAAAGCCACCACTAGGCTAACCTCATTGTAAATACATTCTGATTGTGGGTCAGCTGATGGAAACACAGAATTTGTACTGGTCTGTAGGCTCACAAACTCCCTATTAAGGAAAGATTAGACTTGCACATTTATGGAAGCGGGGGGAATAGCAAGATTACTAAAAAGTTCTTTATAATTTTCAAAGAAAAAACATTGACAAACTTTTTAAACAGCCTTTGAAATATACTAGATATGACTAGGATTAACTTAATTTTCTGTTTAGTATCTTCTATGTATTTTAGATTTCTGACCTAAACAATGCCAACCCCCACCAAAAAAAAAAAAATCTGATCAAGCAGATCAGATGTGTATGTACTTTGAAAATACAGCCTGGTTGCTAGGAATGCTGCCACACTGCAGGCTTCACTGGGTGTAAATTTGGTTTCTTAAAAAGTGCAAATAAGCAATGTGTGTGTCAACCATACACTAGACTGAAAGATTCGTCATTTCACATTTTTGTACACAGATGTAGTAATTTACCTCAAACACTTCCCTTTTTAACTGCTTCTTTAACTGTCGATATCTTACTCCTTAACTCACTTATTCTGCTTTGGGTTGGTGTAATCAAATATTTCAGTCTGATTAAGAGATGATCTCTTGGTGCAGTTGGTAATTCCACTACTGTCCAAACACATTTTGGAACGCAGGCTTTCTGCTCAAGAACCATCCAAACATTGCCTGACTGTAAAGTGATAACAGATATACAGATAACACCTTCCAGACACCTTCACCTGTGGCTTGAAAGGGGTGTGGAAGAGGTGTTACCTCCTGTAAGGTGGTAGCTTGTGTTTCCATTTTGCCTTTAGTAGGTGGGGAATGATACAAAGTGAAGTACTGGAAAGATGGGGAACAACTGTATGTATATTGCTGCTGTAAAGTAATGAAAGAGTAATTTACAGCATGTTCAATATGAATAGTTTTGTGAGACAGTTGCTTAGAAAGGTCAGAGAAATGTTCTGGTGGGGGTTTTTCTCCTTGAGAAGCATGGTGTGCTTGGGGTTAGGCTGAATTGTCATGGAAAACATAGGTCCTCACAGGCTCAAGACAGACACTTCAGGCCAAAGCTGTATTGAAGGGAAATGCTACATTGTTGAAGGTTGTGCTAGATTGTTTTTTAATTCCTGGGTTGTTTTGGGTTTTTTCAGTCCTTAAGTCTGAATAAAAAAGAGAGCAAGTAGTGCAAATAGTAAATGGACTGTTTCAAAGTGGTACTGCACAGTTCTATGTGAGCCCTAATTAGATACATGAGTGAAAAATTCTTGCCTTAGTGTGTTGGAAGTATATCCATTCCAGGTATCAGATAAGAATGTTACTGTGGCATTTATCTTATGAAAATACACCACTAACTCCAAATGGATGCTTTGCATAGATCTGTTAGGCTAAAAACCATAAGGTTGCAAATTCTTTGTTTGAATCCTCCTATTGCATACCAAGGTACCTCCAGACAAATATGGGGGCTGTAAAGAATGAGAATGAGGAGCCCTGATGAGAACCCTGATCATGTAGAGGAGGATATAGGGCTCCCCTGATTCCTTAGGGAAACTGCCAACTTCTCCCTTGCATTCGTAAAGAGTGCCCTTTTCTTCTTCCTTGAGTGTTTGTGTAACAAGATACTTGGAGACTTGGATGCCTTCCATTTATAGCAAGTTAGATGATTATGTGCAGAATCTGTTTACCTCCCAAGAAGTGTGAGAATTTTCAGAACAATTCTGCAGCTTACTACCCAGGGACACCATTGTGCACAAGTGGTAATAAAGAATGATCTTTTCTTAATGAAAAAGACAAAACAAACTAGGCAGTAACTCAGAATGAAACTGAGTGTTCTGAATTTTAATGGCTTGTTTATTATCAGAGAGGGCAAGGAGCTTTTGTTATCTTATAATACCAGAATGGAGGGAGTGAATTCTGGTATTAAAGGGGTAACACTGGTATTGGGAGGATGATTTTAAAGTTCAGTTTTATTTTGTACAGGGACATCTCTAAATTTGCCATGCATTACATTATAGAAGAAATAGACGAAGATACATCCATGGAAGATTTGCAGAAAATGATGACAGTAGCTCTCTTCTACAGGTTATTAGTCTGCTTTTATGAGGTAATACTTACAAACATTAACTCCTGTAATTAATAGTTGTGAGTTGTTGAAGTAACGGTTTTAAAAAATAATGTTATCATTGGCCAATAAAGTAAATCCTCTTAACAGTATTTTGGATTATGTTGAAGCTTATGACATTCACATAGTTCTGAGGATAACCAAGTTTGGGAGACCTGTCAACAACATGGTGCCCTGTGGAATTAAAGTAACCTTTCTTTTATAGATAATCTGCATTTGGGGAGCAGGTGGAGCAACCCCAGGAAAATTCTTGCTTGGACTGCGAGTTGTGACGTGTGAAACTTCCGTACTTATTGCACCCAGCCGTGTGTTAGTCATTCCATCTTCTAATGTCAGTATGACAACGTAAGTTCTGGCTCAGTCTCGTTGCATTCAGGTTAACAGTGTCAAGAGCATGTGATTTGGAAAGAAATTCACTGTTGCTATATTGTTGACCTTTTCAATAATCAGATTGCAACAGCTATTGTCAGATTCTGTGGTCTAAGAATAAAATGGTAATTATTCAGCCACATGGGAGTATTTTTCAGGGTAGGTGGTTAAATCTCCTCTAGAGCTCGACTTCTGTGTTGTACAAAACTTGGGCACTGAACCTGGAGGTTAACTACTAATGTAAGCAGCAAAGTGAAAGTAAGGCACTGAATGTTCTATTCTGATTTCAGGTCCACAGTACGAGCTTTGATCAAGAATTTTTCTATTGCATCATTTTTTCCTGCGTTTATTACGCTGCTGTTTTTCCAGCATAACAGAACAGCCTATGATATTGTAGCAGGAACTATTGTGGTCAGAAGAAATGGAGTCAGATGATACCAAAAAATGAGATTTCCGGACTGGTTCTCAACATCCCCTCCAAACCCCAGTGAATAAAGACCTACCCCAGAACTGAAATTGAGGTGTCTGTTGGAACCTTTTGCCCTAATTAAATAGGAACTGATTCAGAAGCTAAAGAAAATGTGTGGTTCCTGTATGATGCCAGCAACTACCTTCGAAGTATTGGAGTTTTCGTAGACGCCAAAGAATTTTGGGAGAGAAAATATGAATTAAATCCAGGAGTATTAACCTCTGACTGATGAGACAAAACCTGTCTGCTTTAACTGCAAAAAGGAGCTGTTCTGTTTGTCAGTCTGTGAAAAGCAGATCCCTAGGAATATGCCACCTTACAAGAAATGTTGCTCCTACAGTTTTGGATGTTGACAGATAACTAGAAAATTAAGTTATTTTCCAGGCAGTTGCCTGTCAAAGGGTAAGAGGGAAGAAATCTCTGCAGTATTAGACAGCAAGGCAAATGATGCTAATTGCCATGTATGTAGAGAGATCAGCAGTGGTTATCAGTGTCTTTTATTATTGCTTCACAGATCATATTTCCTCACCTTTTAAGTATTTTCTCACAATATTGATGTGAAATTTTTTTGCATGATTGTCTCAAGCACTGTCACTTACTTCACTTGTCCAAGCTAATGAAGAAGTGAAATAGCTGCTTTTTCCTCTGAGAAGGGTGTGTTACACTGCAGTGTTAGTGATCTGGTGTGTGTAAATAATTCTGGAGCCATCAACAGTACAGACCATGCTAATGAAAGGTAACTTTTTTGCTTCTGTTTGGAGTGAAAGCACTTGTCTATTTCTTGCATATAATGCACAGCAGAAGTGAATGTGTTTCAGGAGCATGCAGAAAACATTACCTGAAATGTGTTATGGGTGTAAATCTGCAGAAGTACAAATACTGGTTATTTTCACTTTATCATTCTGGCTAATTGTTTGTATATTCAGAATAACTTAAATACTGAATAAAGAAACCTAATATTTTGCATGACTATATCGCTTTGATGATTCATTTATTCTCATGTTATTAGTAACTCAGGAAATTAACGTAAGCAATATTAATGTTTTACTGAACTCTTAAGTTGGAGTCTGGAACTCTTCAGTCACAGCTTTTGTACATTCCTCTCTTAGGCTTAACATGCCACTCAGTGGCTGAAGTGGCCACCCTGCCTTCAGTTTTGCACAATGGCTTGGTTGACAGTAGAAATGTTTTGAGAGCTTGGTTATTGCTCTTGTCTCCAGGTGTAGTAACTTAATCAGTGTTCATATGCTGCAATATTTTCATTGGACAAGTTGTGATTTTCTGTGTATGACTGTATTGTGCATGCATTTCAGTTTTCATTTCAAATGATGATTCAGGACTAGATCCTGTGTTTAAGAGTTGCAGAGTGAAGTTTTGCCATTCATTACATATCCAGAATGAGGTCACTAACTTTTTAGATAACTACTTTTAAATCTTTATTTTTGAAATGAAGGGAAAAAAAGTTCCCTTGGCTAGAACACTTGTTTTTAGAGCCCTTGCTTAATCATATATTTTTTGAATACTGGCAGGGGTGGTGATCCTACTACTTACATGGACAGCCTCTTCCAATACTTTACAGTCCTTTCCATTATTTTTTTCCCCTAACATCCAGTCTAAACCTCCTGTCACCATCTTGAAGCCATTTTCTTGTCCTACCACTTCCTACCTGGGATGAGACCAACTTCCCCCAACTCCCCCACCCCCTTTCAGGCAGTTGTAGAGAATAAGATCACCCCTAAGCCTCCTTAACTCCAGGCTAAACACCCCCAGTTCCCTCAGCTGCTCCTGGCAGGACTCCTGGTCTGTTCTTTCAAAGACTTAAGCACTGAGGTCAGGCATGGCAATCAGCCTGATGAAAACTAAAGCTATTAGATCCAACTTAAAAGTCCATTCTAGGGTAAATTTTGCCTATTCGCAACAAGAACTTTTATTCTCTTTACTGTAGCAGTGACCTAAAAACTAGGATTCAAAAGGGGGAGGATGAGGGAGGAAGGGAAAAGCAACACTGTTGGCTAAAACTTTATTACTAACAATTCAGGTATAAGGGAAGGTATCTCTTACCCTATAGAAAAATACCACCCTTACCACAGCAGGTAAAGAAAACAATTACAATGCAAGAACACAGAGCCTGTCCATGGAAATATGTATACATTGTGCTGTTGGCCCGCTTTTAGTTTGTCTCTTATGCAAGCTGCATCCCACATGTGGCTTGTTTCTGCTTGAAGGACAAGTACTTGGCAGGTGCTTCAGGGCTAAGGGGGAGAAGGTGGAAAGCTGTGGCATTTTTCACATGTAGACAGCTGGAAATGCATAATTGCAAATAATCCTTTCATGGCTGCAGTGGCATGGTCTGACTGCCTGAATAGCAGTGAGAGTGTGTGTATGTAGTTTGAAAGTCAAGTTGCTGAGCATTTTCTGTTTCTAGGAACAGTGACTGGGGCCCTACACCTGAAAAGAGCAGTTGGCCTTTGCCCTCTTGTTATGTCCAGTTTATGCCTGGAAGGCATCTCACCTCATACCAGCAGCACCTGCAGGAGCGGGGAGCAGTACTGGGATCTGAAGTGTCAGCCAAGGCCCAGCAGCGCCTCTGAAAGACATTTACACCATCTGACGGCGATGCAGGTCTCTGCCCTTCTAGCTGAGGGAAGAATTCATGTCTGAGTCAGAGACAGACTGCTGTGACTTGGTACAAATCCAGCTGTGGGCCCCCACATGAACAAGCATTTCCTCTGATTTTACTAGAATAGGGTCTGTTCTCCAAGAAGTTCCTGTAACTGCTACAGAAGTGCCTCCCCCCCATTACTCATTTCCAGTCTTCAGTTAGAAAAGTGGTGAATGTTTGAAAACATTAGGTTGGGTTTCTTTAATAGCACTACAAAAAATTAACTGCAGCCAGCTGACACATTGATAAAACTGCTCCAAACTTCAGCCTACAATAAAACTCTTCTTTCCTAAGAGGAGACTTCTAAATTTAAGATCCTCTAAAATCTATGCAAAAAAGCACAGGTTGAAGAAAGCATGAGACATTGCTGAGGCTCAGGGAACGACCTCATACAGTTACAGTTGGGGATGCCTTTACAGAGTTAAAATTGCCAGGTAATATTTCGCAGTTTTTATTGATGGCATTTATCCCATGGTTTAACATGTTAATTATACTGTAATAAACATGGCTTTAATATTAAACTTTTCCTTATTATCCAAAGTCACCACAGTCCATTTCAGTAAATATAAAAATATATACTTAATACTTTGTACAATACTGGTTTTTGGTCCAAACAAAAATGGATCAGAAAAGCCAATAAACTTACTTTAAGAATTCCCAATTTTAAAGATTTTCTAAATGGATTTAGGCAACTTTGAATAATGGGATTTACATAAAATCTGAGACAATACTAAACAAAAATGGCTGTAACACACAAAATTAAAATTTCAATTTCACAGATTTGTTATGCCAAAAAAGTACATAGAGAAACAAAACCGTATTTACACATTTCGTAATAAAATAACAAGGCGAGACAGGTGATAAAGGGCTGTAAGAATGAAAATATAGAAATAGCATATAATTATTAAATGAAGAACTACAGATCTAACAAGTCCTTAGCATGGATCATCCTTTAATCAGTCTTCCCCTATCAGAAAATTTTAGTGCACAATACACCCAAACTCACTCACTTCACACATACACCAGCACAAACTCAGCATAGAAATCATTCGTTATCAACATTCTCTACTCTATACAGCATCCCTCGCTGATATAATTACAATTTCGAGGCGTCAGTAAACGCGGATGAGCGCACGTAGTGGTGCGGATGAAGAGGTATCGACAAGCCATTCACTGTGCAGGCTCTACTCGGGGCTACAGCCAGACCATGCTGAGTCAGTGGAAGAAGTAACTTGAGACTTTTGCTTGAGAAACAGCCTTGTTGCCAACTTTACTTGCTACCAAAAAAATGTAACGGGTAGAGGGGAGGGAAGGACAGGAAAGCTAAGTTTTATATTCCTTTAGGCAGATCTGACTTCCGACAAGCCAGTATGAGGTACAATCCCAGTAACTGAACGATTCAGGGTAGTAGCTGAACATTTCAGGATAATAGCTGAACAATTCAGGATAGTAGCTGCTTCCAATGTTTTTGATGCTTTACCGATCGGGCGTTTACTTTCTACGTCTAATTGCAGTCTTTATCTTCCGACCAGGAACTGAAGATCCAGAGGCAGAGAAAACATTTTTCCCATTAGTCCTATTAAAAGAAATTAGTAGTTCAGAGTTTAGGACAGTGTAGCTGAAAATTCAGTAGCAGCACTGAGTAGATATTCCAGAACAACTGTTTCATAGTCTTGTCTCACTAGTTACCAGCTGGCAACAAGCAGCAAATGACGAACAGGAGGAAGAGAGTTCCAGAAACCAATTAAATCTCTCTTATTCAGAAGGTAAGCAGCAGCATAATGGCTGGATACAGGTTCTACCTTTCAAGAATAAGACAATCTCACATGTGTTGATGTGTGACATTCCTGACAGCTAGGCTCCTTTACAGATAGTGGTGCTTAGTTAGCCAGCGAGGCTAATAAAAGGAAGGATGCCAAATTTAGTTTCAAACTCCGAGGTTCATCTGATCACCTCATGATTTAACAGCAGTAGAGGCTGAACACTGTCCACTGATATTACCCGAAGCTCAAGGGAAATTCTGATATGGTCTCTTACCCCACTGTAAATGTTGGAGGCTGGTTGAACGAAAATCCCGAAGTGCCAGGAGCGGCTGATGCAGGAGGATTTGCACCAAAAGTGAATACTCCTGGGTTATTTGGAAAGCTGAAATTAGTAGTATTGCTTCCAAACTGGAATACAGAACCTGGGAAGATGGAGTGGAAGCAGAAAGAAGAAAGCTGAAATTTAAGTTCATCCTCTCCAGCAAAATTCTCATGTTCTTCCCCATTATCTTTAAAGATTATTCTCTTTACAGGTTGCTCAAGATTATAAAGTTGGGGGGGGGGAGGGGGAGGGTGTGCATCAGAAATGTCAGATTACTACAGGAACGGTTTATTGAACTCACAGACCATGCAGACTTTCAAGACCACCAAGTCCAACTCATGCCCTAACACCTCAACTAAACCATGGCACCCAGTGCCACATCCCGGGATGGTGACTCCACTGCCTCCCTGGGCAGGCCATTCCAGTACTTTATCACTCTTTCCATAAAAAACTTCTTCCTAATATCCAACCTATATTTCCCCTGATGCAGACTGAGACTGTGACCTCTCGTTCTGTCTCATTGCTGCCTGGAGAAAGAGATCAACCCCACCTGACTACAGCCGCCTTTCAGGGAGTTGTAGAGAGTGAGAAGGTCTGAGACCTCTGAGTCTCCTTTTCTCCAGGCTAAACACCCCCAGTTCCCTCAGTCGTTCCCCACAGGGTTTGTGCTCCAAGCCCCTCACCAGCCTCGTTGCCCTCCTCTGGACACGCTCAAGCATCTCAATGTCCTTCCCAAACTGAGGGGCCAGAACTGGACACAGCACTCAAGGTGTGGCCTCACCAGTGCCAGGCAGGGGAAGAATGACCTCCCTGCTCCTGCTGGCCACACCATTCCTGACACAGGCCAGGATGCCACTGGCCTTCTTGGCCACCATGGCACATTGCTGGCTCACATTCAGCTGGCTGTCGACCAGCGCCCCCAGGTCCCTTTCTGCCTGGGCACTGTCCAGTCACGCTGTCCCCAGCCACAGGGGGTTATTGTGGCCAAAATACAGGGCTTGGCACTTGGACTTAATAAACTTCATCCCACTGGACTCTGCCATCCATGCATTCACATACATTGATGAATTTTTAAAGTAATACTGCTGGCACACTGATAATTAGTTGTTTGCTAGCTTCCGTGCCACCATGGAATTTATACCTGTGCATACTGAAGTTTATTAATCAAGTCTTAAACTGTAAATTTATATTCAGGTAAACTGTCCTGTGTTCATGCAATGGATCTGGGGACTTCCTTTCCTTTAATGTGCCAGCAGTACTTTGTCTGAAAAAACCCCAAACACTTAAATCATCAGAGTAAACTATTAAATAATACAGAAAATCCAGAGAGAACTTTACCTTTAAAAGGCTGTCTCATTAATGAAAGATCAACTGAGTTATGTGTTGTACACTAATCTGCTTGTACTAATCTACTGATTAATACAAAAATGTCTGCTACTTTTAATGGAGGCTGTTTTATAAAACTTCTGAGAGGAAAAAGGAGGCTTCTCCCTTTCAGGATTTGATGTGATATCAAATAGACATTCTGGCACTGTTTTTGTTTTTTATTTATTACTTTCTTAAGTTACAAGGTTCATTCTCTGCCCCTTTCCCATGGCATTTTATACTTCATTAGTATAAAATTAGTATTAAGATCTTTATCTTAATACAGTCTTATCCCATAAATGCTTAAAAAAACCACCAAACAATTCTGACTGTATTTTATACACTAAAATGACTGATTCAATTTTCAAATAAAAAAGTAAAAATTTTGCACTTTGTCAACTCTTTTGTTTTACACAATCTTACCAGTGATTACTTCATGATTTTCACCAGTTCCTTTCAATCATTAGGTTTCTAAAGAAAAAATAAAGCTCAAAATTTAATTGTAGAATTGTAACCTCCATGTCTGCTAACTCTCTTGTGGAGAAGGCTTACTGTGAAGCTGGATACCTGTGGCACATTGTGTAGTCACAGTCAGGCCTGGGACATAATGACAACCCTATACCTATTATTTTTATGGAGGGCAATTTCTGTATTTAAATACACGCACAAGGCTGAAGTTGTCTTTCTCAATATAATTCATGGTGCACTTCATGAAAAACAAAGTAAAATATACATCTTTAAATGGAAGAGGATGGTCGGCACTCACCAGCACTGGGGGTACCAGAGCCAAAAGCTGGCTGATGGGCTGCCTGCTGTCCAAACACAGAGGGCTGAGTGCTGCTTGTCACCGAGCCGAATGCAGAAGGAGCAGGGTGGGAGCCAGCAGAAAACAACGTTGTCGACAGCGATCCAAAACTTGGAGCGCTTTGCTGGCTGGAGCCTGGGCTTGGGCCAAATGCTGGTAACTGACTGGTGCCAAAGGCTGAGCCAGCAGCAGGCGCTGGGGGCCCAGAGCCAAACAGAAATGAAGACGATGACCCTTGGGGGACAAAGAGGGATGTCAGTATGGGCCCCTTCCCTCCCACCCTCAAGAATGAATCCAGAAAAAGCCTCAGGACTGGTAGCTGAATACTCATCTTAATTTCAAACTAACTGTGTGAGTATATAAAACAGACACTACCTCAGCCACAACAGGAATTGCATCTTTTCTGTTAAGCAACATGAGAAACACTGTGTTTATGAGAGAGAGTCAGACAAAATTAAATCTCAAACACACTGGTTGCCTCTTCATGTTGTCAAGATCGATTCCTACAAACAGTGTGCTTTAATCTGCGTTTACTAAAAGCTGTTTCCACCACACGCATGGAATATTAATTCAAACTGGATTTTTCAGACATGCAAAATAAAGCTCCTGATTTATTAGGACTAGGAGAACATGTATCTTTTCTTTTCAGCAACTCCACCCCTCTCCATTTAAGTGTTTACCATTATCAACTTCTGGAGGCCAAATCAACCTTGCAGTAATCTCAAAATCTTGGTTTAGCAGAGTAATTCTCTACCTATCAACAACAAAGAACCAGCCCAATGGTTGAGCTGCATGGCCAGCAGAAATAATGAAACGCACCTGAACAGTGACTCTGAAAGTACACGGCAGATCTGCTACGCCAAAGGAGCACTTTAAACAGCATTACTAATGCTCATGCAACAGAAAATACCCTCTAATTGCTCCATAACTTGGAATGGCTGACTTTTGTTCCAAGATGAGATACATGGTCAAACTTAGGTTTCTGAATTTGTGAACATGTGTGAAATATGGTGTCACTTACTAAAACAGTTACACCAAAAGTTAGTGATTTGTAAGCAGTTCAAACTAATCTGTTGGTTGTTGTAATTTAGGACTGCTTTCTGTTTCTGATCAAAAAAAAAAAGTGTGCAAATTACACTTTTGTGATTGACAAAGTTAAGCCACCAGGATCAAACTAGACTAAGTCCCTTACAGATTCAATCTTATTTCCAGCATCCTGCATGGCTCATAGGAATACAGATAATTTGGTGTATTTAGTCTTGAATCATGCATTTGTTCATGCAATTCAGGGAGTAACAAACAAAACATGAAGAAACTCTGTATTTCTTACTGCTGTCTTCTCTAATTTCCTAGAAAATCAACATGCATTGGCTATGCTCCTTAGTAGAAACCATCCCTTACGCAGCACTAATTGCATATTGAGGTACTCCATTTATAGATACTTGTGAGGGAAGGACTTGGCAAAGTTTGACATTATTTTCAGAATTTAGAGTTTTAGGTATAGGAGTGCAAAAGCAGGAAAGTTGTAATTCCTTCTAACTGTAAACACTGGACTAACAGTGACTGAAGAAAGAAATTATCATTCTCAAGGTGAAAAGCTCTTGTACAATTCTTGTACAATTTTGGCATTAGTCCACTACTAATGGCAAAAATAAGAAAATGAGAAGAGTGGCTATTTAAAACATACCTGTTGAATTTGATGTAGTTGTGGCTCCAAAAGTAAATCCTGAATTTGCTGCATTTGTACTGCTCTCTCCTGAACGAAAGAGAAATGGAGTAAGAGTCGAGCCAGTGCTAGAAGATGTGGTTGCTGGTTTGTTCTCTTGAGAGAAGCCAAATGACTGAGATGTTGCAGATTCTGCAGGATTGCCAAAAACAGAGCTGGTCACAGTGTTGCTGGGTTGTCCAAACACAAAGGGAGTGGGAACTGGCTGAGGGTTTGAGGAAGAGAGGCTGCTGCCAAACACACTGCTGCTGTTGGCTGAAGTGGTGGGTACCACTGTGTTGGAGGAACTAGAGCTCAAGAAGCTGAAGGATGCTCCTTGATCTGAAAGGAAGAAACACAGTTACTGCTAAATCAGATAAATGGAGTTTAACAACCAAGAACTTTTCACACAGCAACCAGCACTGAAAAACGTCTAATCCTCCACTGCAAACTTTCAACAATTGCAAAACTGTGCAATATCTATGAAGTGATTTTTGCACCTTTATAGCAGCAGAGAAACTGCAGCACAGCTGCAAGTAGATGGAAAGAAGATATTCCTTCTCTTCGTCCCTTTCACTATAAAAAACAACACTAGTATGAGGCCTCTATACTGTACCATATTAGAGATTTTATCACCAACTGAGATGCTACTATTGAGACAGTACAACTTCTGTGCTTACACAAGCAGTAATACAGGTTCTTTAAGGTGTGGCAATTTTTTTTTGGTCTAAACATAGTATTAAAACTCACTGAAATCTACAAAAAAATTGCCACGTATTGCCTATACATCAACCACTAGAACTAAAGATAGGCTGCAGGTAGTGTATAAATCCTGTAGATGCTGTCTAGTACAGCCTCAGAGGTATTATTTGACAGACACGAGCAGAGAAGTGAAGGCAAAAGATGTTCTGTTTACCGCAGGTACTGGTTGGTGCTCCAAAGGCAAAAGGTGCCTTTGCCTGCTCACTTTCCTTTTCTGATGGTTTACCAAAACTAAAATTGAATACAGGTTTTGCTGTGCTCTCCTCTTTGGTATGCTCAGCTGTCCCAGATGAAAAGATAGGCTGTGCCTTTATCTCTTCACTGTCAGCTTTCTTTCCAAATGCTAAAGGACCAGCAGAAGTGACAGGGTCTTGCTTCTCTTCTGCCCTTCCCAAAACAAACTGTGAGGCAGGTGCAGACTCCACACTACCAAAAGAGAAACCTCCCTTTGTTGAAACAGTTTCATCCTTTTTCTCATCTGACTTCTTAAATGGCAAAGCAGGTGATGCTGCATCCTTTTCTGCCACAGTTCCAAAAGTGAAGCCACCGATTCCAGTTTTATTCTCATTAGTAGCTATGGAAGAAATAGAACTTGTAGCAAAACCAAATCCTCCCAAAACTGGTTCCTCTTTCTTTTCCTGCTGTCCCAGACTCGTCGTTCCAAACTGAAATGTTGAAGGAGCCTGACTGCTTGTAGATGGAAGTCCGAAGGTAAAACTGTTACTTTTACTTTCTTTTTTGCTATCTTCTGATTTAGAGTCTGAGGAAGAAACTCCAAATTTGAAGTTCCCTGAACCAGTAGGAAACTTAAACCCTCCAGTCACAGTGTTAGATGATGTAGATTCGGATGTGATGCCGAACTTAAAGCTACTTTGTTCTCCAAATTTAACATCTCCTGTGCTACCTAATGTTTGCGAAGATTCAGAGGATGATGACGGGACACCAAATGTAAATGATGGCATTGCAGCATTTGTAGACACAGTAGCAGTACCAAAACCTGCAGAAATAAGCAACAATGTCAGGTTTGCAATATATGATGCAATACATGCAGGCTTTAGCTACATGGCTGGGATTCTAGCCTTGAGCTTTTCCCAGAGTTAAAACTGTTCAACAAAACACCCCCTCACACACACAGACAAGTAAGGAAACTCCACACTTCCTCTCTACACGTATCTTTTCCCAATGGTGCTCTTCTGTGCAGCACCTGCCTTGGAAAGGCACACTGCTGAGCTCTCTGAAAGACAGTGGTTTTAGTCTAAACACCAAATGAACAACACACATAAGGGCTTGAAACAAACTACTATGTCACTGACACAAGCTTTTTCTCTGAAAAAACCAATCCTTTTCTGGAGAATGGATGTGGAAACATACATACACAATCTTATTTAAGCAAAACTCCTAAACAACAAATGGACAGTTTTGCCACACTCAAAGAAAAAAATCACTAAACTATAAAAAAAAAAAAAAAAAAAAAAAAAAAATAAAAAAAAAAAAAAAAAAAAAAAAAAAAAAAAGGAAAAATGTTGTAGAATGCACATCCTTGTTCTTCTTAGTAAGTATTACCTTTGAGCTCTGCTTTGGTGCCTGGCTTCATATTTTCACAGGCTATGCATTTTGTGGCTTCTGCTTTGTTTTGGACTAAGCAGACCTCACATTCCCAACTTCCTTCAGGCATCTTGAATTTGTCTAAATCCAGAAAACCTCCAGAAGAAGCAGAAAATGCAGAAACACTGCTACTGGTCACAGGCACTGAACTCCCTGAGAAAGAAACAAGACAGTTAATCATCCTGCTAAAATCATACATGAAGCTTTTAAGAAATGCTCGCTAAATTGCAAAGCACACAAGTGTAACAGTAAAAAAACAACAAGCTACAAGTTGAGTAGCTTGAGTCAAACACAGTCTGAGAATGTAAACAATTGAAACACCTGGCTTCTTTATAATCTATATATGAATTCAAGAACAAATTGAACCAGTGACATTTAAACAGGAACTGCAGTTCATAAAACACAGCAACACAGCCGATTTCAGATGTAAATTAGAGGTGCTGTATTGAACTAGAACTACCAAAAGAATTCCTGGTGACATGACACGAGCTACTGGTAGTCAAAGTTAGCATCACTCAAGTTAATGATCATTGTCAAGTGATGCAAGGGTGAGAATTTACTAGAACGATTCATCAGCAAGTCACAAGGACAGGATATATTCAAACTATATAGTAACCAAAGAAAAAAAGGAGCTGAAAGCTTCCAAACCCACAACTCTTGTGTTCACCACACTAGCTACACTGCCTTCAACAGCAGCAAAAACCTACTGCTGCTGAGGTGTGAAATCCAACATTTGCTCTCTGACATTTCTCCCCTGTAAAGGAAAAAATGGCCCTTGATGCTGCACCCCAAGAGCAAACTTCTGCTCCACAAGCGTCAAGAGTGAAGCAGACATCCCAAAGGCACAAAAGCATCACATAACTGTAGTCTTCATCTACAATGAACCACTGAGGGTGGCATTCAAGAGAAAGACACAAGATAATTTCTCAAATTCAAAGCAGTAACGTTTCCTAGACAGTAATGGGTCTTCTTTTCCATAGCACATCCAGTAAATTCATGTTCTCCCATTTTACTTGCTTCACTCGTCCCCTTGACAAACATAATGTAACTTTGAAATTCTGAACATACGGTTCTGTTTTAGCACAAGACAACTAGCTAAAGACTACACTGACTTGGAATCTGGCTTCACACCTCTGCTCAATTCCACACAAATGCTAACTGAAGACATTTTAAGCCGTGTTGTCCAAATACTCCTTCTACCTGTAATTTGAAAGAGGAAAACAAAACCCAAACAAATCCAGTAGTTTTTAGCTCCTTGCAAGGAGGTAATTTCCCCCCAACGAAAATGAGTAAATTGGTTTTAAGTTAATCAAGGCATCCATTTTAGTCATCTTTCCTCACTATCTGTAAAGCAGGGTATATTTGCTTCAGTTCAGCTCTGCATTAACACATTTCACAATCAGTTCAACTCATGTGACAGGCTGGAATCTGGGCTGAGACCTCTGAAGTGCTTGCAACCATTCCTGCAGAGAGCCACTAGTCCATCCTATTTGGCATACAGCATGCTGCTCAAAATATTTTTTATATGCAGCATATTTTATTCTCTAAAAAATGCACATAGACCGAGACTGAAACAACAGAGAACAAACCTGGTTTCTCAGACTGACAAGCTACACATTTGCTGTCTTCTGCCTTATTTTGTAGAAGGCACACTGAACAGTTCCAAGAGCCTTTTGGCTGTTTAAATTTGTCTCCAAACCCCAGAGTGACTGCTGTGCCAGTGCTGCTGGAGGTGGATGTCACTGTCACCGAGTTGTCCGTGACCATTGGCATTGTGAGAGCAGGCATCACTCCAGTTCCAGGCTTTGGTGTCTCACATGCTATACACTTCGTAGCTTCAGGTTTGTTCTGGACCAGACAGGTATCACAATCCCATGTGTTGGGTGCTGGTTTAAATTTGTCTTCAAAGCCCAGCGTCCCTGCTGTAGGGACTGTTGCCTTGGAGGAGACACATGGACTCACACTGATCGTTTGCTTCGTACCCTCAACAGTGGACACTTTAGCAGCTTCACATGTTACACATTTGCCATCTGTGGTTTTGTTCTGCAGACACGGGTCATGTGTGTCAGACTGCCAAAACGAGGATGCTTGTTTAGAGGCGTCTTTACCTGCAGAAAAACTACTTATTGCAGGCCTTGTATAGACCACTGTGCTCGTAACAGGCTGTGCAGATGAACAGGAGGGTGATTTCCCAGACATAAAGCCTAGTTTAAAAAAAAAGAAAAAGGAGAGGTCTGACTGATGAAGCTGTACTGTGGCTACATGGAAGTTATTTATAATAGTAGACAGCACAAATCTAAACCTAGTGTCAACGGTTACAACTATACATTCCAACTAACTGCAAGAGGAAGTCCATGGAAATCTTATTTAAAGGGATGAAATTTCATATGCTGAGCTGGGACACAAGAGAACACTTATTTAAAGCTTGATTTAACTCTTCACTTCCAAGAAAGTTTTAAATACAAATCTCAGATGTATCTGCCACTACACTGGTAGATACAAGTATAAACAAACAGTACTGAAAGCTGATGATCTGTCACCAACTGGAAATAATCCAATTCCATTTTAAGACACCATGCCCAATCAAATCAAATTTCTAAAGCTATTTCTGCCACAGTAGATGACTCACATTTACTTAGTAGCTATACAGCAGTAGGTACTTGGAGCAGCAATCTACACAGTTTTCCCCCACAAATACTGAGTAATAATTAAGCAATAAAAATTAAGACAAACACACACTTTCTTTTTTCCTATAAATTTTGTTCAAAATGCACTGGGCACAGGCCAACTCTTTACTTAAAGGTGCAAACTTTTCAGAGAACACCAATATGGAAACTAATGAAAATGCTATAGCAATATATCTTAAATATCAGCACAGTTTAACTGTAAAACTAAAATAGAGTTTCTCTTTTTACTGTTATATTATTGTTGCTTAGGGATTGTTTTTTTCATATTAGAAGTGGAATCTTCGAACAGTGTGGATTTAGAACCTGATTTTGTTAAACTGATTAAGAAAACTAATACCACTTCACCCACAGGTCTTTCCCTAAACAAAACACACAGTGTATTTTCTCTCACTTAGCTCTTTCCAATATAAAAATAGGCACTGCGCTTAAGGTGTACACAGATTTCATAATAAGAAGTCCTGCTGTATTTCAAAGCTTATGGGAAAAATCAAGTTCAATTAAGTCCTTTTTCCTAAAACAAAAAGCATCATCTACACACACTTTACTCATATACACTTTTTACTCAGAAGTTGAAAACAATCAACAATGACTTGAAAACCATTTTTTTTGAAGTGAGACAGCCCACTGCAACTTAACTTTACATCTGAACCCACAGTAACAGTCAACATTTAAGGTCAGAAGATATGCAACTTCTGAAACACTTTTAGGAATTAAATTATCTTTACCATTCTTTATTTCTGGAGATGGTGAAGGTGCAAGAGAAATGTTTGTAATGCATTTTACAAACATTTCCTTTCCAATTACATACAATTTATTTATTTAAACAAAACAACGATTCTTTGACTAATTCCTTTTATACTTGAGTTTAAATTAACATCTAAAGGAGAAGCAATGCATCCGGTTTGGAGCTGCAGTTTTCCCATCAGCAATGAAAGCCCTTATAACAGAAGGGGGCATGAAGCATAAGAGATGTAGCATTTAAGTCTGTATTTATTGCTGACACTGCCTTAACTGTGACAAATTGTCTGGGGTTTTTTTTTGGTTGCTGTTGTGCTGGGTTTTTTTAAAAATCAATGCAGCTATATGCAAGTATTCTCTGCAAAATATTTTTTAAAAGAGTTCATTATCTCACCGGGGCTTTTTAGAATGTCCAACACACTTCCTTGCTTTAAGAACTTAGCAGGTTTGCAGAACCCATCATATTCTTCTTCTTCCTTCTTATTGCTGGTGCTGTTTACAGTGGCACTACCTTTAAAAATAAAACAAAACCCACCTTTTACAAAGTAATCCACTTAGAATACATTAATGTTTGCTAGAAACAAGAATTTCCATGTTTCGTTCTTCTTAAATAAGAATCTTCAGAATTTAAACTTATTTACAAGAGTTTATAGTTATAATCTGATTAAAAGCATACTTGTCACTGAAAACACACTTTGTCTGGAATTTATAACAAGCTTAGGAATAACAGATTAACTATTTAACATATAAAAAAAAAAGAGAATTAGCACTCTATGTTTGAAATGCTAAAATTTTTGTTACCTGGACTAAGGATGGATGTCACTGGTGTATCAGTGGATCCAGAAAGCTCTGATGACTTTACGACAGGAACACTAAATGTAAACTTAATTTGCTATTAAAAAAAAAAAAAGGTTTTTTTTTAGATTCTAAGGAATTTTAATTAAGTTTCACACACAAATAGTAATCTGAAATCCAGTCTTTAAACTTTTGGTGGGTGCTAGGTAAAAAGCCGCAAACCAGAAATCTATATATTTGTTTGCCCCCTTACCAGGGCCAATTCTGCTTTACTGTTCCACAGTATTCTACTAAAGCCTTGAGAAAACGTTGGGATTTATTTTACTTACAGACAAGGGAGGTAGCACTTCCACCTCAGTAGATTTCACAATTGGAGATGAAAATACAAATGTAGGACTGCCAACATTACTCGCTGGTTGTACCTGTATTTCCAAAATAATTAAAGTTTGTATCTAAGAGAAAAACATCCCAGTGAAACAACAGCAGCTACCTGAATTCACTATCTAACAGATATTCTGTAGTGAAGATGGGAAATCTGATGTTTGGTATTTCTGATCCACAGCAAAGAGTGGTCATTAAAGAGAAAGCTTGCAAGTCAGTGTATAAGAGTGTATAAGATAGAAGAAGCCGTATCAAAATATGTCATCCTCCCCATCCCCCAATCTGAATAAACCCTGTTTAATTCAACAGGTTATAAACTCAGGTTGGTTAGTTTCATGAGCACCACAGAAAAAGTTAACATTCAGCAAGGAGGATGTATACTCACCCTGAAAAAGTATTCACAATATACAGCAAAGATTTACCTTGTTCATCACTGCTTTTGAAACAATGCTGGGTGATGAGGAGACAGCACTACTGGTAGGGAAACTGAAGCTGAACGTCGGCAGCGATGCAGTACTGATGGGCAGGGGTACTTCAGGTAGCACTTCTTGCTCCATCTCCTAGGTACAGATTTTAATTTTTGTTAGTTTAATTTTTTCTTTAAAGAAGCTGCAAAATCTTTCACTGTCTTTAGAAAAGTTTTAGATTTGCGATAGTACATCTATCATCTGCCTAGTAAGCGTACTGAAAGTAAGCTCAAAATTGTTACCTGAGCAGAAGAGAGAGGGGTGCAGGTAAGATTTATTTTTTGTTTTGTCCTTTAGTTAATAAAGATATAGAAGGACATAACCATTCTAGGATTCTATTATTCCCTTATTTCCTTAATTAAGAGCACAACTTCATGGCAAGTAAGAAAGTGTTCCTCTTGCAAAATTAGGTAGGACAGCTGACAAAGTCTCTGAAGTCACTTGAACTTGGAAAAACACAGTATTTTAAGAAGGATGTGTGTTCCTTTGGGTACCAAAACCCCCAAAACAAACCAAAGCACAGAAAGTCAAAAATGAAACCCTGATGAGTGACATACAGGATCATACTCTGGTAAATCTAGTCAGTATCATCTATCAGGATGTAAATTTAAAATTCAGAAATCAGTGCACCTTCAAAACTTCTGTGCTTACCCTTGTCTTTTAAACCTTTTGATGGCCAAGATTAGATTGGTGAGAGTTTAAATGGGAATAGCCAATCTCTTCAGGATTTGGACAGTAGTCTACTCAGAAGTGACTAAGCAGATAAGCACATTGCTACTATAGACATTTAATGTACCTCACAGATTACATATTTCAGAGATCTGATCTGAAGAGTCTATCACACCTTGATATTGAGACCATTTCTGTTACATTCTCCAGTATTTCCTACTTCTTTGTTTTTCATCAGCCAGAAGACCAAGTTAACCTCTTTAGATTTAAGATCCAGTAGTAGACAGCTTATGTAACACTCAGACAGGAAAATAATCCTTGGGATAATAATGACTATCATTGCATTAAATGGAGTTTTCCCATTAAAACAAAACAAAAAAAAAAAACTTTCACAATGAGTTTGAGCAAGTGCCAAAAATTGTGAATGATCATTAGCAAACATGCAAAACACTGTCTTCTGCTTCAGGTTCTTCACCCATACCTTTCTATATGACTTACATATAAAATAACAAAATAAAAAACCCGGTTTTTTTTAATACTTGACATTTCAATCCTTCCTAAAAACTCTACAAGCCTCTGCCAAATTTATTAATTCAACAACTAATAAGAAACTTTATAGTATGAAGAATGTTCAAGATAATACAATGGAAGAGTTTAAAAATATAAAACCGAAGTTGAGGCACTTATATAGATAACTAAACTGGAGCCTGCTCTGAAACCCACAGCAAAACACCCACAAAACTGAAATGGCATTACTGTAAATTACTATGAGGCAATGAAGCTACTTATTTCAGTAATCACAGTAACATCAATTAACCTGAGAGACCCTTACCAGTTGTTGTTTTTGTGCAGGTCTTGATGCAGAGTATCGCTCCCTTTCCCTTCTCATCTTGCCACAGGCACTCTCCATCCTACCTCCCAAAGACAGACCATTGGATGCAGGAGTATCGAGTTTGGGGTAGCTCAAATTGCTGGCACAAAATCAAAATACATAGGTTGAGGAAGTGGATTAAAAATAAAGAAAAAAAACCCACCAAAATGAATAAAAAAATTGTTTCAAGTGATTATAGCCACTATTAATCCTGGAACTGTCACACGCTAATTAGAATCAGAAAAAACTATCCCACAAGTTCCTAAATGCTGGTAAATAGCTGGTGTTCTAAACAGCAAACATGAATAAGAGCAGCAGTGAGAACAACATACATAGAAAATAGGCACAACATCCATAAATGAATGATGATTAAGCCAGAAGACCTGAAATAGAAGAACTGATTTAGATTATTTTCTAATGTTTGCTTTTAATAGTCCAGACGGTGGAAATTTTGACTGCCAGTTCTCTGATTCTGTAATGAGCATGTATCTCTGAAGGGACATAAAAGAATAACTAAAAATACACAAGCAGGGGGCGGGCACGTGCGTGTCGCACAGGAAATGCTGCCAACAGTTCTTATGGAATTGAGAGGCTGAAACTTGTGTGGCAAGAAAATATGACAGAAGCTTCATAAGCAGCTCTGGCTTTCCTGAGGCCATCAACAGAAGCAGCAGAGGTGTTTGGGTGTGCCAATATTCCAGAAGTCTATTTAGACATGAATACAGATCCCTTTCGTAAGGCATACAAAGGCATTTCTCTATTCATTACAAAAGCATAGATTGAAACCAAAAAGATTCCCTAATCCAAGTGGGGAGGGGAAAGAAAAAAACCAAACCAAAAATCTCAAATCAAACAAATGCATGGTTCCCCACACACACAGACAAATCCCCACCCCCACCCCCCCGCAAACAAAAACCAACCAAAGCAAACCCATGCCATTTCCCAAAACAGAAGTGAGCTAAGGAATAATAGCAATAAAAAGCAGCAGGGCATTATGATGAAGTATCCCTGAAAAAAAATTACAGTATCAAGCTTATCCTACAGCAAATCAGTCAGTCATTACAAAAGTACACTGGATGACACTGGAAGATACCAGGTCAAGTGTCTAGAGGACTGAGGAAAAGAATTGGTCTAAACCTCTCAGATAGTTGCAAACATCTGCTCAGTACTGTAACCACTGAGAGGAAACCAGATCCTTAAGGCCATATGCTCAAATTTTTCCCTAATCCAAAATGACAATCAATTTGAATTATGAAATAAAACCTCATGCCAAAATAAATCTTTATTCAGACAATTATAGCATGTCTATGGTAGCCCATATTCCTCTCTTCTGTTAACACCTGTCAGTCCCTAAGGAGCAAAAACAGTTCTGTCTTCAAGCAAGTTAGTCCAATCTACAATTCTGACACTGGTATAAAAACCAAACAGCCTTTGTTAGGCTGAACAGAAATGTACCAGAGTATTGCAGGTTAGTTGCATGAAGAGACTCTGGCCCTTATTAGTGTGCATTCCTACTCCACAATATGACAATAAATAGAGATTGGCTTTATAAAAGAGTTAAAATAAAAGGACCATCTAGTCCTAAATCAAAAGTAGAAACACAGCAGTAAAATTTGTGAAACAAATGAAAAGCAGTATCAGTTTCCTGGATCTCCCTTCTACATGGAGAAAGGAATTGCACCAAAGAACATTTAGAACAGCCTGAATACCCACAATTAAAGCCTAACATCTGTTAGCACCTCTGCCAAAACTAAAGATGGCTCCTGTAAAGTCAATCTATTAGACTGTAAAAACAAAGGGTTGGCTTTGGGGTTTTTGCAAGCCAAAGAATGCCCAAGGCAATGTAAGAATTGCTTGGAAGATGAACACAGAGCCAAAACATTAGCAGATTCCCTAATACTGTTATTTGAAAGGCTTGAATCCTCAAGAAAAAGGATATATTCTGAGCACACAGTGCCTTAATTCATCCAAAGATTAGTTCCCCAGAAGGGAGAGTCATCAATATTATCTCAAGTCATTCTATGCCAAGCAAGCAGCATAATGCAAGACAATCTCCTCAAGAAGAAACGCAATTATTAACTCTCTCAGATTTTTTTTTTTTCAGAGACAAGCTGGCATTTGTCTTCAGATAACTCTATAGGGCTTCATTTTTCATGCAAACTCACAGAGCAGACAAGTGCCTTTGTCATGTAAGGAACATTAGAAAACAATCTTCCTCTAGCTTTTTGTATAAATAAACTACTAAATAAATAAATAAAATACAAAAACCAACCAAGCAAACAAAAAAAACCAACACAAAAAAACCCTAAAGATTCAATATACTCCTGAACGGTAAGATATTTCACATATAAAGAATTTTTCAGAAAGAAATTGCTGCGCAACAAAGCCTTCAGACTCCAGGTAATTATTTCATTACCTGAGACTAACAGCTGCTCTCCCAATGAACACCAAGTTGCACAAGTATTTAAACTCTCATAATACAATTTTTTCACTTTTTCTATTCCCTTTTACTGAGAACTGTTCCTGCTCTTCCAAAAGAAAGCAAGCATGCAGATTGTACTAGCAAAGAAGGGGAGCTTTCTTCTTTCAAGTGTTTTAAATTAATAGATTTGTCATACCTTTCAGATGATTTTACAGGCTTTTCTGCAGGAAAACTCTCCTCCATCATGTCCTGCAAAATAAATTTTATTTATTTCAAGATTTATCTGAATATATTTATAAACAAAACGCAAAGTGAAGACAACCAAACATACATTTTTGTGCTGTTTTGGTTATTTTATTTATACCACTAAATATACCTCATCTGCTTAAGCTTTTTCCGTAATCACCCTGACTTTCCATTTGATCTCCAGCCCATATATTTAATACCTGGTCATTTTTACATTCAGAATGATACTGGAACCATGGGTCATTTTTTCTGAAAGAGATACCAGTATTGTTTTAAGGAAAGTTTATGAGGGACTCCATCAACACCAAAGTGATCAGAAGGGGTAATTAAAAAAGTGATCTGAATTGGTAATTGCTAGAAATCTCACTTGGAGCCCGCAGTTCACCTGAAACATTTTATACACAACATCAGCACGTTCCATCAGCTTCTGAACAGCAGCATATGTAAAGGAAATTTGTGTTTCCATATTTTAATATTCTGTCACTATGAAAACCCTGGCCCAAAAGCACACCACCACATTCTGAAAATAAGCATCAGCCACTTAGTATGCCAAAGATACAATTATATTCATAAAACCTCTCAGTATCTCTTTCACAACAGTTCCCACTGTCTTTTCTTAATGCTTGCCTTAAGAATACTATTGGTGGTCTTTGAAAAAGAGCAACTTAGTAGACTGGTTAAACATATTCTAATTTTGCAAGAAGCAGGCAAATTAGGACATGAAAATTTGCTTACTTGATGGTCCGTATCTACCCTTTGGTGAATTTTTCTGGAATTAGTAGCTGATTTCAGAGATGGTTTAAAATATGTGATCCGACTCCCTGTCAGGGAGATTGGCTTTGGTGTCACAAGTTTCTGGACAGGAGGATGTTGTGAGTCCACCTTTGAAAGGGAAGCAGCAATCAATTTATCCTTGCACCCAACCAACTTAGCACAGCACTGACTGATGATAAAAGTTACAGAACTAGAACCTCCCACCAGTCTCAGCACCCAGTGAAAACTATGTGGTTAAGTGTTGAAAATACTTAGCTTGCAGAAAATCAGTTATAAAATCAAAAAAGCTACAGGAATAGTCAAAGTCTAACTGACTTCTGTGGCAAACTTCGGCAGTTACTTCACAGACAAAATAAACTATACTCCTATAAGCAAAATAACTCATGTTACAATAATATGCTCTCATCCTTTCCTCTCCTCTGCCCTCTATGTGACTTTTATTTTTTACTGATTTGATCCATTAATTCATACTGAAACTGTTAAGCAGAGTTAAACCACGTTCTGGGTTTCTTTTTTTCTACATTTTCTTCCTTTGAAGTTACCCTTTAAAAATATATATTGTGAAATATTTTTAAGAAGTCTCATTAATGCATGTTCCATTGTTTTAGATTTGAATTTGATGCTCTTAAAAGTACTGGTCTGACTTTTCCTGTCAAAGCTTTTTTACAGACAAAGGCAAATTATTAAACAGAAAGCACTGTACATTCTGCAAAACTGGCTTAACTAAATAGAGAAAGAAGGAAGACCCCAAAAGGCCCCATGATATATCAAATTATCTGTAGCCTTGGTGATAAGAAGCATGAGACTTAGGATGCACCTACTATTTAAATCAGTATCAACAGATGGTTGTGCCCCAACCCAGGTGTAGAACTGCATGACCTTCACATGGGCCCACTTCTTCTAGAGCTTGTCCTGGTCCTTCGGGATGGCATCCCTCAGATGTGTCAACTGCACTGCTCAGTTTGGTGTCACCTGCAAACTTGCTGAGGGTGCACTCAGTCCCACGATCTCAAGGATGAGGATCTGGCATTTGGATTTGTTAAATTTCATCCCACTGATGAATACCCAATGCTTCAATCTACCTAGATCCCTCTTTAAGGACTCTTGTCCCTCAAGAGAGTCAGCAGCACCTCCCTGTTTCGCACCATCAGCAAACCTGCTAATGGGGCATTCAATTCGTGCCTCCAGATCACTGAGAGGTATCTGGAACAGCACTGGCCCTAGAACTGATCCTGAGGAACACCACTGGTGACTGGTCACCAGCCAGATGTAGCCAAATTCACTGCAACCTTTTACATCCTGCTGTTCAAACAGCTCATCCTAGAGCTGGACAACTTGCCCAGAAGGATCCAAAAGGGACAGCACCAAAAGCCACACAAAAATCCAGGAAACTACATCTGCCACCTTATCTCTACATGCCAGGCAGATGACATTATTGTAAAAGGGTATCAAACTAGTGAAACAGGTACGTTCAACAAGAAAAAAGTAACTCAGTTACATGTTCAATACACTAAGGTTTATTCTGTCTGGTGTAGATCCTCAAAAGAAGAAAAATACCACAAAAAAAAAAAAACCTGTAAAACTTTTGCATGAGTATCCAAGTGTCCTGTAAACCATTTGTTCGTTTCACCAGGAAAACACACAACCCTCTTCTAGGCACATACAATCCTGTCCTCTCTTTTCATCAAGGGCTACCCTTTCTTCCTGCCAAATTTTATGAATTCTAGCATTATGAGTAGACAATTTCTCTATTTTTACCCAGTGACAGCTGTATGCAACGTTCAGTTTCTAACCAATGTCAGGGTCTATGCTGCAAATCTGGTAGATCTTTTTAAATGTAAATGCCTCATCACAGGTGTGGTTCTGCATTTTAATGCAGATTCCATATCAGCATTGTTTTCAATGACTGGGATAATATTTAAGAGATGGTAAAACACTTACATGCTCTATTTCAACATTCTTGTAATTCATCATATGGCCAAAGACAGTACAGAAAATCTGAGATGTTTTAAACTCCTAAGTGGCTGCAGAATTAATTATACTTCTAACCAAGGCAGAAACTTTTAAAAACATTCTGTCCACTTCCCCATTACAACAGCAGATTAAAAGTTTGCACTGAAGAAAAACCATTTTTGTTCCTTTGGCTGCCAGAGCTAAAAGTGACCTTTTGTGATTTCACTATTTAATAAATGTAATACTCCAACATTTTATAAACAAAACCAAGGAAATAGTGGTTTACCACAGAAACAATTCAGTGCTACTTACAAATAGGAATGTAGGAGCACAAATTTACAGAAGTTACAAACTTTAACAATTGTCCAATTTTCTCCTTTCCTTGAGTAGTAATAAAAAATTGAAGTATATATTTTTTGCTTAAAATAAACATGAAATCTGCACAAGATCTGAACAATCAATCAATATTTTTCTATTTCTTGTTATTTCTGCATGAGAAAGCTTTCCTGAAACAAGAATGTTATCGTGCAATTTAACCCTAAGTTGCAGGCCAAGATAAAACCACTTTGTGTGTTCTAGAGACATTGTTCTTGATATATCAGCACACCACCAAAAAAAGATAGTAATTCTCCACCTGAGCAAACTTCACAATCCTTCATCTAGTGTGGATTGAAAAGACATTTTTAGCAATTTACACACAGCCAAGGCAGCTATAACTCACAGTGAATTCATGTGCATGCTATAATTGAGGTTTGTGTCATTTAAGAGCTGCAAAGCAGAGAAAGTTACCTATGACAGCTTAACATTTTACTGGCTCTTACCTGGTTTTGTCTGGATTGGAAATTAGTCACATTCAGCACACTCCTGTCCACAGGCTAACAGGAAAAAAGGGCCAAAATTAGAGGATGTTTTTTTCCCAACAAGAGGGCTCCATCCAATAAAAACATGGGGGGTTTTTGATCGACTTACAGAAGACAGCGGACTAGAAACAGAAGATGGAATCCTTTTAGCATCCTGTTGAAAAAACAGGTACAGTAAGTTAAAGCAGGTAAGTAACATCTTCATCCCATACTGGCACATTCACTATGTTTTTCAAACACATGGAATAAAACATTAGGAAGAGCACAACTTACTGCCAAAGGGCTTGACATCTTCTCCAATGTCTGCAAGATGCGCCGTGCTGTGGAACTTGTCACACCATAGGATTGCACATTTGCTTGTTTAGCTTTCACTTGTCTTTTTATCGGTGGCTGAAAAATTAGCATTGCCAATGTCATGATGGTGGATTCTGAGTTACACACGTGTGTATTTAATGCCCCACAGCTACACTGGTTATACAACCAATATCCTCGAAATGACACAGAAAAATGTACTCACTGAGCATTCAAAGCATGAAGAAGAAAAACATACTCCACTGATTTTACAGAAGTTTAAATGGGGCCCTGCATATCTTGCATATGGGATAAAGCAACAAAGAAATCCTTAAATGTAAAAGGTCACAAAACAAAGATGTTAGGCTTGTAGGGTGTCTGAAGCAGTGATTAGGAAAACAGAAATGAAGCAAAGGCTTGAGCTGCAGAAATTACTTGCAGCAACAAAATAGATATCAGAGTTTCATGATAGCATAAGCACGGCATCTTAATTCATCATGGATTCCTAGTTCTACTTCTCTTGTTTCCTCCCTTCCCCCAAGACTGCAGATCTTTTTTCTCTTTAGAAAGATTAAGATCTGATTTGAACTGTAACAGATCTAAAACAATACACTGAAAAAGTCAATGTTGTACCACATGACTGAACATAACTGAAAAAAACTCAGTGTGACCATTTTTTAAAAGAAAAAACTATGTTACACCTCTTATTGTAACCACATCATGCTTCCCACACAACTACCGTGAAGACAGGAAGCAGATCACACAACACACAGAGCACGCAAGTGAGACTTGCTGTACGCAGCAACAAACAAGCTTGTCTCTCCTTTAAGAGCCTAATATTTGCTTCCTCTCTTCAATATAATCCAGAATTTTTGTAAAAAATAAAAATAGCTGACCAAAGAGGATTTCTAGGTTACAGAAATTTTAAATGTTCTCAAGTTTTATTCAACACCAAGTTAGGAAAATCCACAAGGTTCAAGATTTCCCTGAATCAGGAAATTGAGTCCCCTTGTTCAATGGTAGAAACAGACTGCCAAAATAGGTCCAACAACCTTATTTTCAGTTCCTTAAAGTTCCTTTTGACTTTTTATTTTTTTTAACAAAGGACATTCTCATTTAAACAAATTAGAACCAAATCAGATTTTACTGACTTGCTTTTAGATTCAACTCTAGCTATTGAGAGCAGTCAGGATTTTTAATTTGCTTGTTCATTTTAGATGACGAGGGACACCTGGGGACAAGCCGCTCTTCTCAAGAGCCACCGGAACAGCAGTAAAATAGAGAGCATCTTTTTGTATATTGTGATATGTATGCATGTAGGACTGCATGTCTCCCTCTGGGTAACAGAAGTGCAAAGGATGAGCAAATTTGCCTTTTGTATACTCCTGTATTAAAAAATGCACAATATGTTCATAGTTTGAGTGCTTGTGTAAGATCTACAAGCAAGTATCAGGGAGGTAACTTTTGCTGCTATTAACGAAGTTTTCAAAGTTATGCCATCATTGTAATTATTTACATGTTATTTCACCATAATAGAGTCAGAGGCAGATCATGGCAGAAAATGGAAATTTCTGGAAGACATAACAGAGAAAACCTCTAATACAAGAAACTGACCAAGAGATGCTGCTGTAATTCTCACGCTTTATGACAAGCATTTCTACATAACATGTTACACAAGAATTGAAACAAAAATTGCAGGCTGAGTGGGCAAGATAGGAACTGTTGGCACGTTTTTCAAGTTAAGTTCCCAGCTCACAGTTTTTTTGGCCGAGCTCCCCCTTATGTATTTCAGTTATGTTTTCCCTCACATTGCACTACTGTTCTCATACCTGGTAAGCAGAAATCTGGACTTTTGTCTGTCTCGCTGCTGCAGCTGCACCACCATAAGAGGTCTTTCCTGGGTAAAATGGAGAATCCCCAAGCTGTCTTGTCTTAAAGACAGAAGTGTTTCCAAGTGACTACAAAAAGGTATTATGGTAAGTGGTTAGTAAAATGGCTACACATTCAACTTGACTAAAATGAATACTGTGCAGTACTTACAGAAGAGGGAGATCCAAAAGCAGACAAATTGAATGCAGGTTTTTTAGAGCTAGATGCAGGATGCTGTGAGAGGGCATGAGATCTTTCAGCCTCCGGGGACCAAAGCAGTGGTGCTGAAGTATTTTTTGAAACTGTGATATCTGCCAAAATGACAAATGGCATATGTAAATGCCTTGTGTACATAGAGAAATTTAGTATTAAACATCACACAAACTCCAGTTCTCTACAAAAACATCTCACCAAATGAAAAGGTCCTCACCACAGGATTCTTGAATAGATTCAATTTGATAAAATTTCATTTCATGGTATGTTAAAATTTCTCTGGCACTCTAACCTTCAGAGCTCTTCAAACACATTAATTTCACATATGGTATGAAACCCAAGTACCAACTCTGAACCTAAAATCTGTTCACAGAACTGCAAATACATGACCTTTCAGTAATCTTTCAAAAGCATTCACAAGTTAATAGCACATTTCCAATACAACACAATTTTATTTTTTTTCTTTCATGATAAAGTATAGGAACTGCATAAACACTGGTGCATCTCTAATGATACAAAGTTTTTCCTATGTTGGTAGAGGGTTGGAAACCAGCACAGGACAGAACTGACCAGGTCTTAAACCTGAAAAATTACCCAAAGGCTGAATTAAGAGAGTTAACCACCTATTTTCTGTATGTCTTATGGAGACATATCAGAAAGTTCTAGCAAACTCAGATTATATTGCTACACCCTGGCAACATCTACTCTGAACTGTCAAACTATGGTTTCCAGAGAACTGGCTGAGCACACCTCCATCCCCCATTTATATGGGCAACTGGAAAAATGTCCAAACTTGCTGTTTGGCCCTTTCTCAGTGAGACGGCTAGCTCACATTCTACATAAATACAATGTCTTGGGTTTTTTTTAACTTAAAAATGGTGCACATTCTTTACTGAATTTGGCAAAAAAAACAAGGAAGTATTGACAAATTATGCCCAGGAACAGCAAAAAAAAAAAAAAAAAAAAAAAAAAAAAAAAAAAAAAAAAAAAAAAAAAAAAAAAAAAAAAAAAAAACAAAACAAAAAAAAAAACCAAAACAGCCTAAACTTGTTCAATCAGAATAGTTGCTTTATTGACTCCTGGTTAAAAAAAAACAAACAAACAAACAAACAAAAAACACAACCACACAAAAATAAACAAACAAAAAAAACCCCACATGCTTTACATGCTTTTATTTTTCAACCATATTTACTCATATTTAGCCAGCTCTGAGATACTCTGAGTCACTCCTCCTTCTAGGCAACCAACCCAGCTATCAAGGTACAGAAAGTCATCTTCATCTCCTATTATCCCCATTCAAGATTTACAGATAATCAAGCTAAAATTGTACTTATCAGCACTGACTCTTTAGAACATAATGGACTCATAAATATATTCCAAACATGGTTATATTTAAAAGGTGACAGGATTATATACTTCTAAAATACTAAAAATTAAATTTAATTCTAACATCTAGAGCTGGCACTCTCCTACTTTATTTACTAAGGCAAGGTGAAATATTAAACAATACAAAGTACTTCATGTTATCAAACAAATCAAATAGAGAATATAAATATAAAGTTACCTTTATCAGATGCTCTAGAGGAGAAGCCACTGGTTGTTGAGATGTTATCGTCGTCATGCTGAGAGGTAGAATCTTTTATTTCCTTTACGAGGGACAGCCCAGGACTGCCGATGCCAAGTGTGGCAGATGTGGAGGGCTGACAGTGTGGGACTGTGGAATCCAGCACGGTGCAGTTCAAATGGCTCCGGTGAAGGGAGGGCCTTGTTAACACATCCGAGAAGTTCAGCGCAGACCTGCTCGTGGATGGTTCTAAACAAGAACAGCGAGACAATCAGCTTCCTTATAAACTCACAGAAGCCAAAACCTGTTTTCTATCAACAGCCATGATTATTGCCAAGTTCTATGCACAAAAATAGAGAAGCCGAATTTAACTTCCTCACCCAGATAGGGTTTCATCTGTCTGATTACAACAGCAACACTGCCTGAAATACTAAGCATTAATGTCATATTAAGAAGTACTTAAGGATGGGATTTTTATGAATTTCATCAAAATTTGACCCTGCACTCAAGCACTTAAAACTGTGTATTTCGCTAAATCAAACATCCGTAATTTCATTTTCCTCCAGACAATGCTTACAATAAGCTTTCCAAAATTAGAGATTACATTAAAAGTTATGGACAACTCTGCAGTTTCTATCATCTAGTAAATGGTGTTAGCCTGAATATGTAACATAAAAATATGTATTTGCAAGGATTTTCAGGTGTTTATTTGTTCTGGTGTCATCATCCTCCCTTCCAAATTCTACCATATCAGGTCATGCTACAGGCGAATTATCTCCTATCCATTAGTTTTTGAGATTTTTGTATAAAAGACAAGTAAACAACATGGTCACAGTTGTAAGACAGGCTTTTTTTCCTCATGAAAAGGTATGTAAATGCTGCCAGTGTCCTGCAAAAGGTGGTCTCACAGCTCCAACTTGCCACATGAACAGAATAGCAATTAATGGCCATCTTGACTGACATCCATATGTCTACAGTCCCTCCCACAATTTCTGGGTATGAACATAATTTTGAGACACTATCATCCTGACATTTGCACTGAAGCTTAGACTAGCTACTTCAATCTTCATAAGCACTGCAGTGCTAGTAATTAATTCTCCAAAGCACTGGTAGATTTTTAGGAGTGTCCTGATGAGATGAAAGAAAGCGTTATCAGATCAAAGGCTGGCCAAGCAAAGGAACACAGGCTCTTGCACATTGGTACCTCAGAGCCAAGGAAACAGGCTTTCTAAAATAAAAAATACCAGTAACAAGAAATAAATTATCTACTATAGCTAGAAAGACTAACTACAACATCCACAAACTACAACACAAGCTACTCAAAGTTCTAGTGAGTCCCATCTGCTCCTGATTTCTTGGAGCTAGAAAGTTTGCTGTGCAGCTGTTCTCACTGAAAGGTCCTTTCACACAATTCTTCAGGAAAGTCAACACATGTTACTCATTCATGAAAACCTTCTCTATTCCTTTATACAAACTTATGCTCAAGCTACAGCTACACAGAGAGCTGAAAAGCCCCTTATTTACAATTAGATAACATTGGTGAGAAAGGTATTTCCTCATTACTTTTCATTCTGCCAACAACAGAAGCAGCTGACTGTCCACACAGATGGTTATGTACACGTGCTCACATAATATTTCTCACCTAAATAAAACCCGAGTTCCCAAAACTGCTAATTTAAGAGAAATTCAAATGAGAGCATATGCAAATCCACAGAGTACTACAGAAACTGAGAGGCATAGGTATAAAGCACAGATTAATTTTAATATGATCCAAATAGTTTTCAAAGACCCCAAGCTAGCAATGTCACACAATGTTATGAAATATTAAAAAAAAAATAACAACGTCATAAACAAAGTTCCCCAGATCTCCACTAAACTAACATAAAAATTTAATAAATTGATTAAAGAAGCCCAGAGGAAAAGAAAAAAAAAAAATCAGGACACATGATTTTCCTCTGGCATTCTAGGATCCGGTCTTTTGTTTTGAGGACAACAAAACAAAATAATGTTTCTACTACCTTAAGCAATTAGATAAACTTTCATCACAGATCCTTTAAAAAGCAAATGTAACCCAACACACTTGCAAATGAATGCGAGCAATAATTTGCACTTGGCTACTTGAGTACCTGAAGTTAACTCATGACTTCCAAGGGCTCTAGGTGAGCTTCCAGTATGTTTAAACTTTGAAGCTAAGGCAGTTCTAAAAACTGAGCTACTGAGTTTTTTTCCTTTGATTTTCCTATGTGTGGGGTTATTTTGGGTTGGGGTTTTTGGCAGGTTGGTCATTTTGGTTTGGGTGTTGTGGGGTTTTCTGTTGCTTGTTTTTTTTCTGTCCAAACGCTCCTTCCAGTCTCCCCTAGAAATGTAGATTCAAAACTAGAAATCTGTGAATAAATACATATGGTCAGAATACTAAATGATATTTCACATACCTTCTAAATTAATTCTTGCTGATTCAGGCGTGACTCTCCCATCAATTACCATGGTATCTTCATTTGCATAATCATGGTGATAGTTTACTGGATTCTCTTCCTCACTTGCAGATTCATTCATATCTACACATTTATCTTCACTTTTATTGAAATACTTCTGCAGCCATCCTGGTACAATGTTTTTCACTGATTCAGTCACTCTGCTAAGGAGTCCCAGCTTGAAAGAAAAATATATGAACACAGTCAGCAGTATATTCTGGGATGCAACCTTGCACAGACCTCCAAGACAGGTATTAGACAGCAATATTCAGATAAGTAAGATAAGAGAATGCTGGAAGCAATATTCAGATAAGTAAGATAAGAGAATGCTGGATTCTTCATTAAGAATTCCAATACTTCTAGAACATGCATAACAAAAATACAATTAACATTGATTTACTACTAACCCATCAGTTTCTGCACTGCCCAGTGACCTTGGCAAAACTTCCACATTCTGAAACTACAACTGAAGTTCACCAAAGGCTTGTCAAGTCACATGGTCATCAAGAAATTAAATTTCTGAACTCCTGATGTATGCACTTTGTTTTGAGGACTTTTCCTTCTAACACCTTCACTTGAAAAATCATCAAACCCAGAAGCCTAGCAATTATCTACAGCAATAGTGATGAGTAGTAATAGCTACTAAAATCAGTGAACTTAAATATTTCTTTTTCTAATGCTAAACTGCAGAACAATGTGCACCAAAACCCCCACTATTATGCTCTGAATACTGAAGGAATCTGGAAAGAATCTTGGAAGAAACAGCTACAGTTGAACAACAGACTCCTCACCACAGGATTCTTGAATAGATTCAATTTGATAAAATTTCATTTCATGGTATGTTAAAATTTTGTATCTGCAAATCTTAATATTTGCAGTTACTGAATACATAAAAGCCATTTCCATTTTGACATTCAGCAATTATTTGTAATGCTTACATTCTAGTAAGAAGTATTTATTTAACATTTTGTTTTAGGCAGTCACTGGTTCCCCATTATATCCTCAAAATTACAACATGTCTTCTTTGTCAAATCTCAACCCTGTGCAGCAGAGTTCTTGCAACATGGAGCTTCCCCTCTAACACTGGCTGCAGCCACAGAACCAGCTGCTCATCTCCACAAACTGAAGAAAGTGCCGAAGCTACCTTCAACAATTTTCAACACTTTGGAAACTGAAAAGCAACAAGAGCATACAAAAAGACTTTTGTTGAACTTCATTGCCAGTTACCTAACACATGCATCAAGGTACTTTGTTCTTTTTTTGGGTTTAGGCAACAAAAATTTCTAGAAATTATTATTCATCTGTAGAGAATTGAGAATATTCTTTGAACATGTAGTAGTTAGTCTAGTAAACAACTGTGAAACAAGAACCCTCTTGTATTCAACTTTCTTTAAAAGTTCAGCACACATGGAAGAAAAGCCCCTATCTGTCATTCACATATTTCATACACAGTAACACAAGCACCAACTTACAGGACACCCTTGAATCGGGAGTTAGAAGTGGGGCTGGCAAAGAGAAGAAAAAGAAGGTAGAAAACAAAAGTATTTTCACAGAAAGAAAGTCATCTTAATTTATAATTTGACATTTTTCATAACAATCTGTAATTAAATCTTTTATTTGCACAAAGACAGAATAACTAGCCAGGGACAGCTTAAACTAGACAGAATACCACATGATAAACACATCTATAACAATTACCACACTAAGATGCTCTCTAATATGCCATGCTTAGGGGGTTGCTGCTATTCTACAAAAATACTAAGCCTCAGTTTTCCAACATCAAAAACTGTGCAATATCACAGCTCACAAGCAGTTCAGCGCCTGGCACCAGCAAAGAGGCAGTCTGTACTCCATTCCCAGCCCCTCATTTTCACCTTTACTTATCACCTTTCACTATCCCTCTTTAGGGGAGTATTTTGGTGCTACGTATAAAAGCTATCAGGAACTCAGAGGAGTCAAAAATCTGCCAAAATAAGCAAATGACAGGACACAAACTGCATCCAAGGCAATTGCTCTTTCCAAAAAGCTATGCATTACTATATTCAGTACTGCTAGAGAATATCTCCATTAAATAGTAAGACATTGCTGGCCATAAAAGAGGAGCCAGTATGATTCTCTAACTGAGGAAATCCTCCCAGGACTGAAAGCTACCTGAGACTCAAGATGGAAGAAGCCATAGGCATCCAGAAGAGTAAACACCCAATCATTAGTAATCCTAATGAGCAACTGGAGAATGTAGCTAGACTAGTAATTAACTAAGATGATGTTATAGTATCCAGATCTGACACCAGACTGGTTTGACCCTTTCGTGCAAATGGCAGCCTTGCCATTCTCCACATAATCAGCATTCCAAGCTGGATAACACAGGGTAATATCCCAAACCTACCCATGAGCTGAACTCAGCAGAGCTGTACTGCACCAAGTACTAATGGCCTGCTCCATCTGGCTTAGGCACAGTAGCAGACAAGGAGCATAGTTTTATACTCCAGAATAATGTTGGCTTAGTGACAAAGCAAGAGAAAGCAAAATACATCTAAAGGCACCTACATTTTCTGTCAGCAAAATATATTAAAGTCACTGTGAAAGAAGAACTACACAGGCATTATGAATGAGCCATCATCAAAAACAGATCCCATTAAAAAAACACCTTCCCCCTAAAAGTATTCCATATTCCCCAGGTATGTCTATTCAAATACAAAAAAATAAAAAAAAAAAAAAAAAAAAAAAAAAAAAAAAAAAAAAAAAAAAAAAAAAAAAAAAAAATACAATTCCTTCCATCATCTCTTATCTGCCATCAGAGATAAAAGCCAATCAATAAAGCTCTGTGGCTGGATTGTTGATCAAGTCAGGCAGTTAAGGTACCACTGACCTACACATTTGAACACGCATACTGCTTATTGCTGCCAGAACAATTCAGCAAAATCTCATGCCTTACACTGTCTTTAAAGCTGGCATTTTAATCTTACCCTAACCTTGCAGTTTTCTTATTCTTCAACTTCAGCACATGCATTTGAACAGTCTTTCCCTCTCTCTGAACATGCAAATAAGCCAACCCTGTCAGCAGAACACTCCCCCTCTACCCTCTACCACTTCCATGCCACCAGCTCTCCACGTTGTCCATCCCATCTCCTTAGAGAGGAATCATTAATCCTTCTAGAAGGCTGACAAGGATAGTACACATGCCAACAGATTTCATTGATGCCAACAGATCTTCAGATATAAAATACAAAAAAACATAGCAAGAAGACAACTCTAGCAGGCTTATTCTCCAGCAAACTGCTCATATCCTGATCTTCTCATGCTACACATATGAACCAGCCTCTTCCAGAACACCTTCACTCAGTACAGCTACTCTGAACACGCTACTGCACAAAAACTGTTCTAGTTTCAGGTTGGGAGCAGAGGATGTGGCGCTGGCATGCAGTCTAGTGTTCATAACTTATCATTTCTACAGGCCACACAGGTACCAAACTTAATACCATGGAAGGGCAGAAGACTCAGAGGGGCAATCCCAAATGTGTGACTACTGTGTGTTTTATTCAGTGAACATGTTTTACTCCTTAACTGACTGATTTCAGAGGTTTGAGCTGCTGTCAGTATCAACTGCTATCACCTCAAATACACTCATCCCAAAAAATATCAGCAGGAAAGCTTAACAAAATGAAAATCCACCAGAAAGACCCAGTAGCTTATGAATAGGTATTTACAACAGGTTTTCAAAATCTGTGCATCATCTCAAGTGTCTGCAGCTCTGCTAGGTCTAAGTCTATGTATACAAACATCATAGCAACAGTAACTACAGTAACAGCTACTCCAAGGCATATTGGCTTGACATCATGGAATCGCTGAACTATTAAGGCTGGAAAAGACCTCTTAGATCATTGTGTCCAACTGTTACCCAACTGTTACCCAAGAGTCCAAACCATCCTTGTTTGGGCATGAACACTCATTACTGAGTTTCAAGCCCTGCTCCTTAGGTCCCAAGACTCATCTGAAAGGCCACAAGCATTATTTTGAAGGCTCCAAGTCTGATTTGGAACGCCCAAAGTCTCATTTGTAGAATTCAAACTCTATAGAGTACAAAGGCACATCTCCAGGCACATCTCCAGGCCTAAACCCTAGCTTCCAAAGCCTCCTATTTAGGATTCAGCCTTTTATCTAATGGGCTCACTCAAAGCCTCCAAAAACCCATTTCTAGCGAGCAGAGAGTCATCTCAAGGTATTGAAGCATCATTTGAGGGCACAAAACCAAAGAAAATCCAACCTCAGGGTTCAAACCCTCCTATTCATCTCCAAAAGCCCATTTCCGGAGCCCAAAGCCCTGTGTTGAAGACTCAAATCCTTCCTTGGAAGGTCCAAATTCCTCTTCTCATAAGGTCATAGAATCATTAAGTTTGAAAAACATCTTTAAGATCATCAAGTCCAACTGTTAATTTCAGCACTACCATCATGTCCACCATTAAACCATGTTCTCAAGTGCCAGCTCCAACTGCCCTTCTCTGGACCTGCGCTAACCCCTCAGTGTCTTCCTTGTAGAGAGTGGCCCAAATCTGAACAGAGAGCTGCAGGTGTGGCCTCACTAGTGCTGAGTACAGAGGGACAATCACTGTCCTGGTCCTGCTGGCCACTTTATTGCTGATAGAAGGCAGGATGCCACTGGCCTTCTTGGCCACCTAGGCACAGATGGCTGCTGCTCAGCCACTGCTCTCCAGCACCACAGGTCCTTTTCACCATGCAGCTTTCCAGCCACCCTTACCCCAGCCAGTAGCACTACAGAGGGTTGTTGTGACCTAAATTCAGGGCTGGGCACTTTATCTTACTCAATCTCATACAACTGGCCTCAGCCCATCTACCCAGCCTGCCCGGATCCCTGTCTAGAACATTCCTGTCCTTCAGTTAATCAAAACTCCTGCCCAGCTTGGTGTCATCTGCAAACTGGCAATCAACCCCCTTGTCCTGGTCATTGATGAAGATGTTAAAAAGGACTGGCCCCTATATTGAGCCCTGGTGATCACCATTTGTGACTGGTCACCAGCTGGATGCAACCCCATTCACCACCACACTCTGGGCCTGGCCATCCACACAGTGTACTCAGCAAAGATCACACCCATTCACACCATGGGAAGCCAGGAGAACGCCATGGGAAATGGTATCAAAAGCTTTACTAAATTCTAGGTA